TTTATATATATAATATTTAATATATAAGATAAATCACACCTTCCTAGATGTGATTAAATCTACTTTTATAGAAAAACTTCAGTGTAGAATTCAAGTCTTGAAAGCCTTGAACATCATTGGTACTTTTCAGTTTTTGTTGTTTTAAGGTAAGACTCGTTTAAATAAGCACTTCAGAGTTTTGAATGGCATGGGTGCAACTTACTAGTACCGTGGCTGGATTCTACCAGTGCTGTCAATTGTGGATCAGTGCAGTGGTTTCAGAACTTTCCTTTTGTGTGCAACAGGTCTATCTGTCACTGCTCCGGATGTATCTCTCCCCACCTAGTGTTCATTGCCTGGGACCAATCAAGATGGAAGTGCTGGAGCCTCAAGCCAATCTGCAGGCTGCTTTGCAGGTTTTGGAACTACATCACAGCAAGCTGGACACTACCAAGGTAAGAAAGACTTGTAAGTACTCAGTTTGTACTGTTGGCAGAAAGTGACAGAAGGTACTGGAGTAGGCAAGTGAACAGATTGTAACAGTGTCAAGCTAAATATGTCAATTTGTATTCTATTTTGTTCTCTATTCCTTTTCAGTTTTTCCTAACCAAGTATATTTTGCTCCAGGCGATAAACCTGCTCCCAGCAAACACACAGATCAGTGAGATTCGAATCTTCCTAGAAAAAGTCCTTGAAGAAAATGCTCAGAAGAAGAGATTTAATCAAGTACTTAAGAATCTTCTCCATGCAGAGTTTCTGAGGGTAAGTACCCACCACCTGTCATTTATTGGAATTATGTTTTAAACCAGATGTTCAATACTTAAATGGACTGTTCCTTATACGGAATGTGTGTCCTCTAGATGGTGCTGTAGTGCACCTGAAATTAGTAGACGTCCATCGAGTAGATTGAATGTCCCCTTTTCAGGAGATGAAGAGGATTACACTCGATTTAATTTGGATGAGGTCTGTGTCTTTTCTGTGAGTCTCTGTACTCAGTGTGCTCTGATGTGCATTGCACGGCGATGATGGAGAGCATGGACTGGATTGCTTGGAAGTAAACCGAACCACATGATGCAGTTCACTAGTTCACCTGAACACCCTTTAGTGGTTAGAATGCCTTAGTCTGTGGACCAGACTAGTTGGAAATAAAATACTGCAGTTCATATAGTGTGGATGTTGGATATTCAGTGCCACCTGCACTGCTCTACAGACCTGCTTCTTTTGTGCTGTACAACTTGTTAATGTGGATCGAGCCACTGAAAGTTAAACATTGTGACAGTTTTCAGTTTCATCAGACTAGAAGGGAGGTGTGATGTGGCATTGCTTTTTGAGCAAGTTTGGGTTTTTTCCATTCTTCTTTAGGTCCAGGAGGAGCGGATCTTGCATCAGCAAGTGAAGTGTATTATTACAGAGGAGAAGGTGTGCACTGTATGTAAAAAGAAGATAGGTAACAGGTGAGAGCTGTTATACCTTAAAGCTTGGGAAACTGAATCAATTATCAATCTGGTACACTTAAGAACGTTGCAAAACTCAGAATTTATATACATGGAGAGAAAAGCAGTATGAGGGAGACATTGAAAGATGTTTGAATTAAAAGTTAATTTGCTCAACTGGATGACTGGGAAAACATCAGAGCTTTGGTCAGTGAAGTTTACTGCAAGGGTTTAATCCTGCTTTCAATAAAGGAATAAAATCCCTTCAGAAACTCATAAGACTTCTTACTTCACAACTCTAGAAGGCAGAAAATCGCTTCTCATACTGAATTAGAAAAAATTTTTAAAAGCACTGCCTACTACCTGCTTCTTAACTCAAATTAAGAAGGATGATATGAATAATCTCAAACTAAGATATATGTGTGATAGTTTTCTCTATCTGATGTCTTTGTGGTTTCCTGGCTGATTTACATTTTGTAGCCTAGTTATCTGAGGACATTTAAATGTAGAACTAATTCCCTTGATACCTCGATGCCAATCACTTTTTATTCTACAATTCCTAGTAATAAGTTATGGATTAGTGTAGAATGCAAATTTTATTTGCACTTTTCCTTTTTTCTCATTCACAGTGATAGGGAAAGGCTCTTTTTCCAAAACATTTTAATGAAAATGGGTCTAAATGTACTTATTGCTGTGCATATTCAATTTTTTGCTGTTACTGCGTAGCACGTAGCATCAGAATTCCAGTTTGCATATGCAGTATTGTTTTGGCTGTCTAGAATTTTTCTAATGCTGTTAAGTTCAACAAGGTTTTGAAAGGCGGCCGTGTCATCATGTCACCTCACCTAGACTTTAACTTGTTAACCTGTGACTTCCAAGTAAAGTGTGCCTATAGAAATGAAAATAGGTATGATTTTTTTTCAAACAAAATTCTTACAAAATCTGTAGAATTCTCTTGTATGGTTTTCTCAAGAATGTCTTCAGGCTGTAATTTAAACAAGAAAGTCTCACTTTCATGATTCTGACACAACTTAGATGTGCTTGTTTGAATAGGGAAAACTGTCTGTATTGACAATTGATTTTTTTTTTTTTTGTTCTGTCTCTTTACAGTGCATTTGCTCGATACCCTAATGCAATAGTTGTGCATTATTTCTGCTCCAAAGAAGTCAACACATTGGACACCTGATCTTGTCATGGTCAATAATCCCAACACTCATATGAAATTCAGAACTGATCACTTAGGAAGTTGATGCCTCTGAGATTTTTGAGGCTTGTTGCTGGGTTAGCTTATACTGGATAGAAGTCATTTGTATCTGTGGACTGACTGTACCTATCTGGCAATATTGATTTACTAGAAATGACTTTAACCATGTTATTAAAGTGCTGGCAACTACACTGAACCTTTCAGTACTCAAATGAAGAATAGAAACTGATTTTTGTAGGGAGTTTTGTATTGCACTCCAACCTTGCAAATGAGTTGTTAGACAACCGTTGGGCGTTCACCACAAGTCAAGTTTTACTTTAAAACTTACCTCCTTAGGGTGACAAATGTGACTTGGCCGTGTATGTAGATAGTTCTTCAAAAACAGAAAACTCCTTTAAAGTCTTTGCAGCTGTATCAATGTTGCATGGAGATCACTAGGTGTTTGGCATAGAGTAATCTTATGTGCCTAATTCTGGACCTAGAAAATACACTTTTACTTTCATCTCAATAATGGGAATGTTTAAATGCTGGCCAAAGGAATCTTTTTATTCATGTTCAGTACTGTCACCTGACCTTCTGATGAGAAGTTCCACAGGAGATAGTTGGACAAACAGTTAGATACCACTAATAATTTTTTTTTACTTTAGTTTGAGAGCTGTAAATGGAATTAACTTGTTTGTTTGCACTGAATATGTTCACTATTAGCGTGAGTGAAAACTCAAGAGACTATTCTAAGTTCACATCTGCATGCATACCAAAAAGCAAAGAACACCTTGTAAAGCAGTTTCTGAAGGGAGTGAACTATAGTTATTGCTTGAGCTTCTAGATTACACTTGAGACTTGTGTATATAAGATACTTGGTCTCTGGTTCACTTTCCAGCGTTGAAGTAAAATCCAGACTATTTCAGCATCTCTCTATTTTAGATGCTCTAGAACTGTGTTCTGCTCAAGCTGGTACTGTTCTTAAGTTACTCTCGGGCCAGAATTCTTAACTACAAGAACTAGATTGTACCATACTCATTGTATGCTCTAATATTTTTGTCTAACTTATTTTTCCACAAGCTTTACTCTGTAGCAGACTGGTATGAGGGATATTAAAATGTTTGGTCAGTGCAGAAAGAATCTGTGCAGCGGTAATTAAAAGGCAGCAGTAGCAAATAACCCGATAGAGTGGCTATTTGACTCCCAACACGCTGGTCTAGCAATACTTATAAATATGTAATTAGTAAATAGTATGGAGCATGGCATCTAACTACCATATACCATCTCTTAACGCACAAGTAGCTGAATATAGCCTATCTGCCTGAAGTATAATTTGATCTCAGTTAACATTATAGGTTTACTTCAGCCATTGTTATGTGAGTGTTTGTTAGGAACAGATCTGCTGTAGGCTGGCAAGAGTCCTCTTAATTGACTTTCATTCACCAGTGTTAATAGCTTCCCTTTATAACTGTTTTTCTCCCTTTCCACATGTATTTGTGTTCATTGTTCATATGCCATGCGTTCTTACGGATTTCTTGGTCCAGTGTTTTGCTGCTTCTGTACTTGGATGTCTTGGGGCAGTATTGCTACTGATGTCTTTCTGCAGAGGCTGGGTAGAGGGAATCTGTGGTGTTAATGTTTTTAACCTTGTATTTCTTCTATTTGAAGAAGAGAGCCTAAAAATACTTATATTGGATTTGCACATTCTGTATAGATCTTTATATACTTGTTCAGGTACAGAGGGAAGATGGTTTGGGAGAGTTGTGTTTACAGGTCAGTGAAAATGAAAGAAGGGTATTTAAAAAGACCCGGTATTCTTTGTATACAGATATAACAATATTGGTCTGATTTCGACCTATCTTATGTTTAGTACTGTTAGCCTGATTTTTATTTACCTTCATTATCTGCTACCAGGAGAGCTGTATTCATATATGAGGATCATCATTGTGCTCTCACTTACGCAGTTAAGGTTGTGCCTCTGTTCACCTCCACTGCATACTTTTTACAGAGATGTGCTTTGTGCTGTAATTTTTTTTTGTTGGTTCTTATAATGTGGTTTGGGTTTACTAACCATACAGGAGGTTTATCTAAAACAATAGGTTGTAATAAATATTGTGAACCAGTGTGTGTTTCAGTCATTGTGCAGTTAAGCTTCTCTGGGCTACTGTAGATTTTTTTTTTTTTTTTTAAATATGAGTCCTTACTTTCTCCTGGAAATTAGACCCTATGAAGCAGTTCCCAGTATCACTCTGGCTTTAATATGTGTAATTCAAATGAGACCATGTCGTATGAGAGCTGTCATCACTTCTCAACTTTGGTTTTTAAATCGACACATTTATACTATGCTTGTGAATGTTCTCAAAATCCTACTAAAACTACTTTTGTATTCTCTCTTTGAATAATGTTTTTGAAAGTCTTATACCATTAAATGTGCACTTACTAGAGAACACTAAAATTACTGACATTTTTTTTCGAGTGGTGGTATGCTATTTTGGGATGGGGAGGGATGTTGAACTCTGTGACCAAATCAGGAGATGTTTAGATTCACAGGTTTGCAGTTGCTTGAATTGTAGGTCATAGACTAGTCTAGTGTTGGAAGTACAATATAGATCTTCAGGTTTCCCATTCTATAGAAATGGGAGATATGAGCCCTGAAGAGGAGTCTTTCGTCTCTATGTCAAACAATTGATTATTGGCATTTCTGGAGAAGACCAACCCACCAAAAAAAAACCCCAGATGGAAACTTTGATAGCATCCTTTGGAACCTTCATGTCTTCCAGTTACGTACTGCATCTTAGCGCTCCTCTTAGTACACTAATGGGAGCAAAAGGGGTCCCTTGTGAACTTACGCACATTTTAGCTACTGTATAGTTTAGTTGGTGATGGTGTCATTTGTTCATGCTTGCTGCCAAAAAAATAACTGAAGGAAATGTAGATATACATCTGCCTTTACCACTATTGGGATGCTAATCCAAGCAGAAGTAAAGTTACCAGGTGTGAGGCTATCTTTGCCTCGCGTTTTGATGCCGTTTTGTCTGTTTTCTTAGTCTTCTAGGAAATTACAAAAGCGAGTAGCTTCTCTTTGAATATTAAGTTGGCTGTCAACTGTGTCTGTAGATAGCTAAAACTGCTATTGTTAATGGATGATGTGTTGACTATGAAACAATTCTGAAACTTCTAGAGAGCTTTCGGTTTTTCTTGAGAGGGAAATTGAAGAGAAATTCTATAAAAGCGAGATCCCTGTTCTGAGATTTCATTGGAAGAAGACAGAACTTCAGGAGAAGGTAGGTAAGCCTGATTTTAAATGGAATTTGACACTCAAGATAAAATACAGGTGTGTAATAAACTGTTGTTTAAAAAGTGTGATTTAAATTTTTTAAAAATAAAAGCTTTAAAAGTGTGATTTCTCTTTTAGCTTACTGTGTGAAGCCACTTCAATTTTCCTATGATTTATAGTTGAGCTATATTAGGTGAAATATAAATAAATCACACTTACGGTTCTGCAATTTTTCTAAGATAAATAAAACCTAGCATGACAGTCCTTCACTTTCAGTGCAGTGTTATGTAGAAAAGCAGCGAAATTGCTTTTCCAGCACAGTGTCTCTTTACCATACCGTCATTTTAGATGAGAGCTTTGCAGCAGTGGCTGGCTGTTTTGCAATGGTACTGTTTCCTTTTTCCCTGTCCATTTCTGTAAGTCTAAATTCACTTAACTAGTACAGACTTGTTTGTGTTGTGGATGTCAGTGCCTCTGCTTTTATTAATTTTCTCAAATTCTGATCTACTGACTGACACTAATGACAGGAAATGATTAATGAATAGGACCTTGCTGAGAACATGTCACATTCTCATGTTTGTGTGGAGCTGGTGACACGCTGCATTACTGGCTTTCATACATTCTCTGCCAGTTTCTAATCATTGAAACACTCAAGTTTTCGTCTGCTGCTTCAGTTTAAGCTCTTTAATAAAAAGCTCCAGACAAGCCAACTGTCATCAGCTGATAATAAACTAATCACTTCCAGTAAACGATTTTCTTTACGACTTAAATATTTTTTAAGGCACAATAGACTCGTAAAAAATCTGCCCTATCTGTTGTACAATTTTTCAAGAACCTTTGACGAAAGACGTGAAAATGAGAATAAAGGGGGGCACTTGTGAAGGCCGCTTATGTGAGGAGAGGTTAGACGTGGTGAATTGATATTCTCTGAATCCTGAGGTAGACCAAGTTGTGGTGTCTCTGTTTAGGCCTCCCTGAAACTTCTTTCAACAGCTACAGTCAATGACAAATTAGTCTTTGCTTCAGGCTTGTAAGATGGGCATTTCTTTCTATTTAAAAATGCTCTTTTAGGGTATGCTGAAACTCTGAAAAGGTTTCAAACAGCCCAAGTCCTAAATCAGGTTGCTGGAACTCTTAAGGAATATCTGAACGGGAGGTTTTGAGGTTGTGGCTCAGTCATGGAGTGGTGCTTCCTCCTGCCCAGGGCTTCCCTGTTTGGTGCTGCTTTGCTGCCCTTATCTTTTACTGGTGTATGAAAAACCTGCCAGCGAGGTTTCGAACTGGGTTGTTTGGCAAGCACAGCCACACCTCCGCGTCTCGCAGCTGGAGCGCAGCCCGGTCCTGCGCAAAACTTCAGATCAAGCCCGTGGCGAGCAGCCCTGCGCAGCCCGGTGGCCGGAGGCTCTCTTCTGCGATTCCCATCAGGTTTTCTGCCGAGACGACAGGACATTTTTCCCATGTTCCATGAGGTGCTGCGGGGCTCGTTTCCACCTAGAGTACTGCCTTTTCTGGCAGCTGTCCTTTTCCAAAGGAAGGAGAGGAAAGAGACTGGGTTTTATCACTGGCGGGTAAGACAAATTGTGGCGCTGTCTTTGAGGCAGCATTCCTTGGCTGATGCGTTCAGCAGCGATTTTGTGTCGCTGCACGTGTGGAAAACGTGTCCTGTTCTTCTGCAGGAATTAGTCAAAAAGTTTATCTTGGCGGAAAATTTTTGATAATAATGCTAATGGAGATTCCATTTTTCTATTAAATTCAGGGTCTGTGGGAGGCAATGCAGAGCAGGGAGCAGGTCTCTGTTTCCTTAGGTTGTGGGGAACAGAATGAAGCTGATGCCAAGTGCTTTTTTGGGGGGAGAGTCCAGAATACTGTGCTTCTGATCAGTAGAGACTAAATGGTGCTTATGTGTTTCCTTGCAAAATATCCTGGATTACCGTTCCCTTCCTTTCTGCTCTCTATCTTATCCCACAGGGCTTAATACTCTAAAGTAGACAAAGATTAGTTA